AGAAGTCACAGCTGCGGTGGCTTGGGCATGTGTTGCGAATGCCTCCAGAAAGGAAGGCTAAGCAACTGTTTCTTACAAATCCGACCAGCAAAAGGCCCAGGGGACGGCCAAGATTAAGCTGATGTAAACATATGGAAGGAGTCTGTTCCATACTGCATTTGTCTTTGGGCGAATCTCAGACTCTGGCACAGGATCGGGAACGTTTGGAAGCACTTTCTGACGTGTCTGCCTCCGCGACCCGAAAGGAAAAGCGGCGGTGGAAGATAAAGGTTATGGCATTCGGCTGTAGACTATTACGTCTGTCTTCTGTACTTATATCTTAGCTATTTCTTTATCTTTGAGATTATAATCAAGTAGCAGAACAACCTGACTCAGTTCTGAGAAAACGAAAGCAAATATAAATGGCAAATATATGAGTCACCCGACCAATATGAAAAGTTCTACTTGTCAGTCTTTTCCTCAGTTCTCCACAAATTCATCTGTGCAGGAGCCATAGACTCGGCTGTACAACTGGCCAGTGACCAAGCTTTTAATGTTCTACGCATATTTTCACGCTGAATAAACAGAATTGAAAACGAAGACGATTGAAACAATCACGATCATGCTCTCTGAAGCTGATAAACGTTACCCCGTTTCGAACTATCATCGTAGCGTAAGCAACTTCACTGCCGTCAATCTCCTGGCATAAGCAGTCAGTTTTTCTGAAATTCCTCGATCGGTCTTGGTTAACAGTACAACAGTACAACGTATCGGATTTTCTCATAAAATGGCCAGCATATTCTAACCTCAGTATCTAAATTCGTTTGAATAATTAGTAGTAAGTGTCAATTTGTGGCAAACAGGTCCGTTGGTTTCGTGGACTTCCCAAAGAATTCGTGATGATTTATGACAGTTGCGTGTGATACCATAGAATGCTTGAACAGACCTGCAAAAAGTCCGACTTTTGCCTCCATTCCTTGAAAGGGTTCTGATCAGATAACTGAAATTTTAGGTTTCAACTTAATGAATTCAAAATCGATCGGTTTGCAAAAAACAGCAGTAAAAGTTTCCTTCTTTTCACATTTTACAATAGCAGTTTGTGCAGGAGGCGGATATTCATACTCAAAGCAGAGCGAAACTTGGACCAATCATTTCTGTCGCCCAATGAATGCTTTACGTAGAGAATATGGAAACTATTCACACTGCCTTAGCAGATTTCTGAAACCGTGCCTGCTGACACTTTGCGTTTCTACTTGAATAAATCATGAACTTGAACAATTCCGTTCGGCGCATTTTTAACGTCTGAAACACGAGCAACTTTAAATTTGCCGTGACCTGAAAACGTCGAATACCAAAGAGGCCTGATGCTTGCCACAATGACTGAATCAAACACAATACTAGTTCATGCAAAACAAAACTTTTCAAATTAGAGTCAACAGGTTAACAAACAAGTTGGTGTCTCTTTGTGACACTGGTGTGCTTTATTTCATAAGTGACCATTGTACGCAAACATTAATGGCCACTGAATTCGAGCTTCTTTCGAAGTTAAAAACCCGTAAAAGTTAAATCGCTGGTTGCCTGCCACAAATCGACCAAAGTATCACCCACTTAGATCAATTTCGATGTGTCTCTGAACTTACTTGTTACGGAAGCTTTTAAAACATACGCAATTCATTGTTAAGGTTATTAGGATTCAGCAACCTTGCGAGGTGTCGTTTCGATGCCGAAGCAAAAGCGTCGCAATTGACATCCTCGCGACCCCCATTCATGTTTATCAACTCGGAAAAAGATGTCTGCTCCCAGCTCATCACAGTAGGACATTGATAAACAGTGAAAAGAAGAGCGATGTCACTCTCAAGCAAACGTGAAACACAGCTGTTAGTAAACGACTGCCAGCACAACGAAAAAAATTGCCTCGCTAAGTTCCACATGCTGTAAAAGACCTCTAATAAGTCGAACAGTCACACACAGACAGCTGCGCTGATCTCCTCAACTGCAGTCCTGGTTCGATGCTGTTTCATGCGGACACTGCTCAGCAGAAATGTATGAGGTGTCGAAGTCGGTCAAAAGGATGAAACGCGGTACTTCGCTAATTTTAAGAAACGGGAAGTGGAACAGCCGGTAAGCGAGAAACGGAAATCGCTGCCGCAAACCTTTCTGTAACAGCCACATTTTTCTTATAAGTTCTGCCGAGAAAATCAGTGACACCGTTTGGACAAATCATCGTTTCAGCCTATCTGAAGATAAAGCAGGCAGTGAAACAGTGACCAACTTTCAAGGGCATATTACACTTAAATTACAAGCAAATGCGGACAAATAGGTATGGAAGGAGATATTAATTCGCTGATTGTTTCAATAACAGTTTATGGTTTTTCGTTTAAATGAAGATGTAAAATTTTCTATTTACCAGCGCCAGCATCTTCATCAAGGTAATACTATGCAAATGAAACATCACGATATTGTGAAAACAATTATGTAACATTTGAGTTACAGTAGCGCTTGTTCCATTAATTCTTTCGAACATTCTGACGATGATACTCCAGCTGTCGGACACAGACAAAATTGTAAACTTTGCCCTTCAAATTTGTTACCATTTTTATAATCACAACCAAACAAAGTGTACGACTGCCGTTTGTAATTCACAGATCAGAACTGCGATGGAATACAGAAATAGAAAACTGCTACGGCAAAGTAGGACAATTAAAACTGTTAAGTTGAAGAAACTATAGCACGGTAATTCAACAAACATCCTGAAACGAGTTCAACAGATGAGGGGAGGATATACAACAAGCTTCTATGCTCAGAGTCAAACGTTTACTCGCTGTGGCACAGCTTAGATAGAGGTAGCTGGATGCACCGCAACTCGGGCAATTCACAAATGTCTCTGCATCAACACGTGTATAGTTCTGGACATACGCTATGCGTACAGCTGTAATCAAATGAACAAAAAGTACCTTTTCGGATTTCATTCGATGCACGTCTTCGAATCGAAGAATGGATAAACCACGTATTTCCTTTTCACAACAACTAACAGATCTTAGCGA